CCGGAAACTTGTCCACGGAATAACACGAATATAAACGATTCGTCCTCGTTGTCGAAGGCGAGAGAAAGAAAGAGAGAGAGAGTGAGAGAGAGAAAAAGAGAGAGAGGTATCGTACACTCGAGGCGCGCGTGAAATCCTTGAACGATGATCCTCGAACACGGGTTTGTTTGCTCGATCAATTTACGGTGGCCCCCAATCGATGATCACCTAGTCAGAGCTTGTCCTGGAGCGCTTGTCGTAGCTCCTCGGTGGCCTTCGCCACGTCCTGGGTCTGCCGCGAGAGCACTTCCGGCCGCACGTGTTGCACCGTGGAATTGGACCGCCTCACCGAGTTCCCGCTGCCGAATTTCGGCCGTGGAATTCTCACGCGTTGCACGTCGCTCAGCCAGGATTCCATGATTCTCCCCTTTTATCCTTCTAATTCTGATGGCGCCTCCTTTAAACATAAATACCAATATTCGTTATTATAACAGGTTGTCACGCGTCTGTAGGCATTTTTTGAGAAAGAAGAAATATCGATCGATATCTAAAATGAACACGATGTGTCTTACGCGAATTAATTATTACTCGTATTTCTTGAACGAAAGAATTAGAGGAAGTGTTAATATTTCTTCTTTTCTCTTATCGCGTACAGTTTTTGTTGTAGAATTATCTTGATACGATTTTTTTCTCGATTTTCTTCGAACGTGGGCGTATTTAGAGAAATCGGTAGATAGCTTAACAGAGTCTAATTTCGACGATTAGTTTAAGTAACTTGAGAGAAAGTCTTGGAAGTCTTGCGTTTAACAACTGTGTCGCACTGTGATCTTTATCGCGAATCTTAATACGCCCGCCCGCGTGTAACGTCAACAACCGTGCGCTCCAGAAAGTGGCATAATACGAGCGCACAATTTCTTCGCACAAGTGAAAGTATACATATATATCGTCGTTAGTTCCATCGATATTTCCACGATATCGCATCTATGTTTGCCTCCGTTATCGTTGCGTTCAATATTTGCCTATCCTTATCTTCGAACATTTCGAAGAATACGGAAGATACGGGACGGATGGAAACGCGTTTTCTAAACAATTCACGATTCGGTTTTTTCGAATCTTCCACGGTTCATTCTCTTCATCACGGATCCCAGAGTGGAAATCGCTCGTGGCATTTGTGACGCAGTGTTTTAGCTGATGTGGAGACGTGGTAAAAAGCAAACGGGAACGCCAGTGGTCATTGCCAGTCGAGGGCAATGGGTCATTCGAGCTACGTGACAAAGAAGAGAAGAATGTCACTGGGCCACGCCGGCTGGACATTCTAGCAGCATGATCTGAATCGTAATCAGACACAGAAAATCAAGCACCTTAAATGCTCCGCCATTAGTTAACTTTGTCAATTTTTCCTTCCCCTCTCCCTCTCTCTCTCTCTCTCTCTNCTTTTTTCACGACGACCTACATTCCCCAGTTTATTCTTCTCGCGG